GCAGAAGGGCTGGGGGGCGGAGTGGGGCGGGGCCCAGCCGCGCTCGGGAAGGGTCGGGGTCTCCCGCCCCCTGCTTTACGTGTGGCTGGGTCGGGGCGGCTGCACAGGGGTGCTAAGAGAGTAGACCGCGGGTTTGTGCGGGATGGCTGGGGTAGGGATGGTCCTTCCTGGGGCAAGCTGACCTCGAGGTCCCTTCGGGCCCCGCTCTCCTGCCACCCTGCGCGGGGTGCTACTGGCAGCTCTGCAGAACCAGACTTCTTGCAGCGCGTTTTCCAGACAGGCCAGCTCTAACCCGCACAATCCGGTGTCATTGCTCAGATCATTAGTACCCATCTGGGAAACACTCCTCGCTGCGGAAGCTCCCCTACGTTTCCATATCCCCCTGTTTTGCTCCCCAGGTCACTCCCACGTTATGGGAGCACCCCTGCTTTCCCGCTCCGCTCCTTACACCTACACTGCATTGTGCATGGACACAGCCAACTTAGCTTTCACCTGCTGAGCCTGGGTGCTACCAGCAGCACGGCCACTGCAGTGTGGAGCTCAGCGTGTCTGCAAAACCTACCTGGGACGATGCTGGCCAAGTACTTAGGCTACTGGGCTCTGTGATGCTGTGGTTGTTCTGCTACCACTACCCCAGATCAGGTCAAACATATTTGGGGGCATCTGGATTCCCAGGCCTGTGGGCCTGGGAGTTGAACATAGGTTGCTGGCCGAGTAGAAAATCTGAGACATGGATATTCATTTTGATTAGATATGGGTAATGATCAATATGGATGTTGAGATGAGAGATGGATAAGGGTAATGATAGGTGTGGATACTGAGCTTGGATATTTGGAATTTAACTGGGAATGGCTTTGGACTGATACAGATATATATATTAGTTTAAAGCCAAGTCAGTTATGTCTACAGGAATTGTAGTCACTAGTGGAGATGTACTTCTTGTCTCTCATCCACACTGCAACTTTACAAAAATCTATTTCCCTTTCCCCTTCCTCTAATCTCGCAAGCCTGCCCTGCCAGCACTACAATATTACAGCAACTTTGCTGTTTTCCCATCTTTACCATGATTTTGCTTACACTCATACTTTGCATGACTTCCCCCGCTTTCTCTTCTTCATTTTTCATCCTCAATGCTCAGTCCCACGTCACAACATAACAAGAATTCTCCACCTTTTTCTCTGACTGTAGACGGAGTCAGAGCCTTGTTCTGCAGTTTAAGTGACTGCCAATGTTCCTTTTGTTTTAAGTTATTAACAAAGTTTCCTCCCAAATTCAAGTTTGTATTTTCCTATATCAATGGCATCAATTTACACCAATAATTGTTTTATGTGCTATTTTCTCATAGGCAGAAATGCTGTTGGTTTACATTAAAAATTTACACCACAAAAGAGACAGTAACAAAAAACATTCCACTTATATTGGAGGATATATCATCTTTTTATGATATAGTTTATAGTTTGTTGAGTGAAATAGGCCATAGTGGCAAAAGCACTTTTGTGTTGGTGAAACCACACCTTCATTAGGGCTTTTGCTGGCAGGAAATGTTCCCCCCCAAAATATCACAGCTGCCTGTGGCATTGCAATGCTAGCAAAAGTTGCTACATAGACTTAACCTTAAAGCAGTGGTCACCAACCAGTGGATCTCGATCCACCAGTAGATCTCAAAGCCTCTTGGAGTTGATCTGAGGCTGGGGTTGGGGGCTGAGTGCCCGCGTACATGCATGCACACGCTCCAGCCCAGCAGGTCAGTCCGTGGGGGAGGGAAGGGGCAGGGGCTAGATTGAGGCTCCCACGGTGAGGGACAGTGCCACAGAGGCAGGACCGGGTATAAATTGAGTGGGGCCCGACTGGGTGGGACTTACCTGCTGGGAAGGCTTACCCCCAAATAACTGCTCCCACAGACTTACCTGTGGGGAGGGGGGGCAGGAGGCACACATAGTAGATTTGGGTTGCTTTTAAAAGCCAAAGGTGATCTCCTACTTAAAAAGGTTGGAGACCACTGCCTTAGAGTCTCCTTCAACACATATGACAAAGAGAAAACGAGGTGTCAATTCCTTTATTTCTAAGGTGAAGCCTTCTTACTCTGTTGTTCAAGGGTAGCTTATACATTAAAGAAGTGTTTCTCAACCCATGGGTCGCAACCCAGAAGTGTGTTGCAAGAATATAAGAAAGGGTTGCAAGCAAACTTTAAAAATGGATTCTCCTTTAAAGGGGAAAAACGTGGGAAGCCATGGCTTTTCCCTTGCAGGCTAGCAGAGGCCCAGCCTGCGAGAAACTGCTTGGGGCCCTGCCTGTCCCACACCCAAACCCTGCCCCGCACACTGAGGGGCTGGGCAGGGGCGGCAGGTCGGGACTGGCTGTCAATGTTTATAAATGAATCCTGGTACAAAAAAGGTTGAGAACCACTGCACTAAAGCAACATGAGAGATTTTCATTTTCAGTTTATGCCTACCAATCAAAACCCTACATTCAAGAAGCAAAATCGCCCATCTAAAAATATGATTTAATCAGACATTGTTATTATAATATTGACTTAAAAGCTAATACATGAAAAGGGCATTGATGTGATATTTCACTCTAGATGTCATCATCTGAAACAGGGTAATGAGAATTTATTACGGATATTATCTTTCAAATACAGGGCAGCATCTTATGGAAAAGTAGGATCAATACTAAATAAGATCAATTCTGTAGCTAGTTCCATTATGCAAATTGCCTTTTTTGTATTTGGTATCAATATTATTAAAGTTAATACTGGAATGTAATTGTCTTATCTTGGTGGAGCTAGGAAAATATGAACAGCTGAAATGGCATGTTAATTTAGTGATGTTATTTTTCAAATGTAGGCGATATGTTATCGTAGATAAGATCGATATTAACATTACGGATTCTACAGTTTACTTCATTATGTAAACTCTGTGGTAGTTGAACTCATTTTCCTTCAGTTATTCACATCAGCCATAATGGGTAATGTCTCTATAACGATCTACATTATAAACCTTTGCAGATCAAAAACTGCCCTGGATAATGTGTCATTAAACTCATTTGTTCTAATAACAACATTAATTATGAACCTACTAATTTATTGAATACAGTGATGAACCACAAAGGTGTACCTGAAGTATAATGTGTGTCATGGGGTGAAGTGTTGGGATTTGAACTTTTAAAAAATGTCTTATTTTTAGATAATGTTTATTTAAACAAACAAATATTTGGTGAAGTTACTATCTCAGTTATTAAATAAAGCTACTGACTTAGGGCCCAACCCTGCATCATAAAAGACACCTCAGGTTTTGCCTTTGACTCCAAGTGGAGCAGCATCAATCCCAGTCCTGAAAATGCTATGAAGTGTAGTGCTTTCTGTTGCTAGGTCCACATATTTGCAAAACAGAACTTTCACTCACTTCCTTGTATCTGCAGCTGGATTCAAACTTCCTAGCTGGTTGGATCCTAAACCTTTGCTCCCTGTGCTTGCTCACTGCTGAGCTATGTTCTCACTTGATTTTCCAAGTCTTCCACAGAAATGGGTCAGGCTACCATGACTAGGAAGGCCCTCCCATATTTTAGTCCCAATAGCTGGGATACTTACCTGGGAAGCAGTAGACATAGGTGCTAGGCCCCCTCACCCACAGGCAATTTGATTTTATCATCTCTCTGACTTCTCACTCTAGTGTGCCAACTACAGGCTACAGGTTAGGCATTATTCAGATGTTTCTCCAGCCCTCATTTTGAAGATGTTCCCTTGGGCAACTAAGAGAAGGTGACAGGTGAGAGCAGGAAAAAAGAAGAGGCCACAGGTTGTGTGTACATATGCTGTGTGTGCTCTAAGATGGCTGCTACTCTGCAAAGAAACTGGTCCTGGTTTTTAGCTTGGAATTTTGCTCCCAGTTATGCAGGGACTTCCCCACTGTACTTTCTGTCTCTTTTATCCAATGAGTGTTAAATACAAGGTATAGTGGCTTAGCTTCAAGAGGAGTCATAAAATCACAGAAAAGTAGGGTTGGAAGGGACCTCAAGAGGTCATCTATTCAAGTTCAACCCGCTGCTCAAAGCAGGACTATCCCTAACTGATATTATCCTAGCCAAGGCTACAGGCCCCGCATGCACCCAGGTTTTCAGTTTTCATTTCATTTGTGATCTGAAGCTACAGGTGATTCTGAATGGAAATACAGTCATTATTCTTGCATCAAGCAAATAAGTAAAAATATTATACTTTTAATATGGGGGGGCATCTTGGCCAGCTTGTAACTGGCAACATTTCCCAAGCCGTTACTGGCATCAAAACTGACACAATCCCAAAGTATTTCCATTAATTAAGAGACATTGTGCTGTTTGTGCCTTGCATTACTGTTACTTAAAATCAGTGGCGAGAAGCTATCAACTAAAATATTAATTTATAGTAAATGGTTTTGAATCCTAGCGTCCTCTGGAAAGACCACCCAAACACAAGGGAAGGGATGAACCTTAACACAATGACTTTGGAATGCCAGTATTAGTGACATTAGCATAAATGATTTTGTTGAGAAATTAAAACATGGGCAAAAAACAAAAAAAGGCCTGGTGAAAATGTCTCTGTTTTGGTAGGAAACCCAGCTGTGCCTGATACTTTAAGTAGTCTCAGTGCTGTCTTGATGGGAAGTGCAGCTGAGTGTATAGTTCCCAGGTCTGTCCCTGGAGGGGCAGGGGGGGCAAATCAGGGCAACTGCCCCGGGCCTGCACTTTGGGGGGGCCCACGGAGCCCGGTCGGCTTTGCGTCCAGCTGCTCGCCATCCCCTCCTCGCCACGTCCGGGCACCCCACAGGCTGATTTGCCTCAGGCCCTGCACCTTGTGACGGTCATCTCTGACAATTCCCCATGGTGTGTACCAGGTCAGGGGATTTTATCATAAGCTTTGTGATGCTGGTGTTTCATCTCCTTTGTTCCTGAAGATCTGTGATTACGTGGGTATCTCAGCTTTCAATCTTGTTTCTTTTAAAGCAAGTTTCCAGCCTGTGGGCTGTGGAAGAGTTGACGGTAGGAAGTCTAGGTGCTCAGAACAAAAGACAAATCAAACGAACCCAAAGTCGAACGTGTTTAAATGTCCATGACTCCCTACTCAGACTCAATATCTGAATCCCTGGGATGGGCAAGACTCCACAAGTGACATGAGCTGCCCTGCCTTGTGCTCGACACCACAGCAGCCACTGAGGGTCCTGCCTGCACCCTGCATCTTGGGCTCCATCAGGTCGAGACCTCCTCATCCTGGGAAGGTCCATCAAGGAGGAAACTGGAAGAAAGATACTCCGAGCTGAGGCCTGCTTCTGGCCCTCAGGTGCGTCTCAGCTGCAGCGTTTCAGGGCGGAGCAGGGCTGGCCCCGTGCTGTCACGTCCGCCCCCGCTTCTCCGTGAGCCGATGCCCGCGTGTTCTCCCAGCCCTCCCGCCCCAGCCCCGGGCGCTGCCTTGGCGCGGGGACACCAAAGACTCTCACTCCGCTGCGCCGCCGCTAGGGGCGCTCCACGCTCCCCCCCCCCCGGCACTTCCCCGCCTTAGCGCCCGCGGCGCCGCTGATGCCCCTTGTTCCCCGGAAGAGGCCTCTCTGGCTCCCCGTCTCTATGGTCTGCCCCGTTTCCGGCATCGCTCTGGGCGGGGACGGAGGGCGCTTCCGCTTCCGGGTTCCCCAGTTCGGGCGGCGATGGCGGCGGCCTCCTCTTCCTCCTCCTCCTCCTCCGCGGCGGCGGCGGGGGGCTCCGGGTGCCGGGCGGAGCCGGAGGACGCAGCGGCGCTGCCCGCGGGCCCCGGCTGGAGCGAGGCGCAGTTCCGGCCCTACACGTTCGGGACGCGGCCCATCCCGCGCCTCAGCCACGGCGACCCGCGCGCCGAGGAGCTCATCGAGAACGAGGTGCCTCCCGCGGGGGAGCGCCCGGGGCGCCGCCTGCCTCGTCCCCGCGCCTCTCGGCTGCAGGCCCGGCTGGGGGGGGGGAGGCGGGGGGCGAGACCCCTGCTGCTGCTGCTGTTGCTGCTGGAGCAGTAGGGTCAGCAGGTGGGAGCTCTGGGCCGAGTGCATGTGAACCCCTCGTGGGAGGCAGGTGGCCCGTGGACCACCAGTTGGGCAGCCCAGACCCAAGCCATGGAAGAGCAAAAGCAGGCTTCTTCTCCGGCCCAGGGAGCAGCCCACTGGGTCGTTAGTCCTGCAAGCGATTAGACTGCCATTTGTTTTTGGGTGCCTGTTTCCCTTTTCTCTCTGTTTGTACAGTGAGGCTCAGTGATGTCAGTTTCCTCTTGCTTGCAGGGGATGTCTCTTTCCTGCTGCAATGTTTGGGTTGTGAAACTTGCAGGGAATCGGGGACACTTCCTTATGTGGAAACATGCCTTTTACAAAGCTTAAATGTGCTGCCAGATTTGAACTGGGTGAGAAATTTGGGGGATACACCGCAGAGGCTGGTCATGCAGCGGATTTCATGGGTCAAACTAAAGTCTTTTGTACCTTTAGCTCAGTGAAATGAATGTGCTACCTGTAACTGCAAAGCTATTAAAAGGAAGGTGGACATGTAGGTTTCAGAAACATATGTGGTCTCTTCTGCTGAGTACAGGGAAAGTATTAGTGCCGAGACTGTGTGTCTGTAATCCATTTATGGGGCAGAGCACATGGCTAGATCCTTCCCTAGGGAGGGTTGTGGGGCATGTGTGGCCTGTTGCTCGGCCTCATTTTTCGGTGGGTGGGGAGTGTGAAACAGTGCTGAGCTCTTATCAAAGGGACCACTAAAGATCAATGCAAATATTTGTATTGACTTGTCTTCATAACAGAGCACTTTGCTGTAGTATGTTTTTTTTTACCTGCTAATTCAGGAATCAAACCTAGGCTCTGTCACAAAGCTACACAGAGTAGTATTACATATTCCGTATTGTGGAGTTATGGGTATTTTGTACTATCTTCTAAGGCACCTGGATACAGGTTGCTGTTAGGATAGAAGGACCACATTGTATAACCCAGTTAGGCAATTCCTATATTCTTCCTTGAGATGCTTCTTTGACTGGTTTACAGGGTTGGTTGATGGAACCTGACACTCCTCCATGAGCTTGTCTTAAAACTTCTCGTCTTATGGTTATATATTTGGGACTTTCCTCCCCTCCTTCCCAGACCATGTCAGCTGATTGTCCTCCTCTTGCTTCAAAAAGGAAACTTGATAGTGGTAATCAGTTACTCATCTGGTTTCTCCAGAGTTTCTTGAACCAATGCACTTCTTGGTTTTTTTTTTTTTTTTCTTTATCTAGGAGCCAGTGGTGCTGACTGACACGAACCTGGTATATCCCGCCCTGAAGTGGGACCTGGATTACCTCCAGGAGAACATTGGCAATGGAGACTTCTCAGTGTATAGTGCCAGCACACACAAGTTTTTGTATTATGATGAGAAGAAAATGGCCAATTTCAAGAACTTCAAGCCCAAGTCGAGCAGGGAAGAGATGAAGTTCACTGAGTTTGTTGAAAGACTCAAGGAAGTTCAGCAGAAAGGGAGTGGTGAGAAGTAAGTGAGCCTTGGAGAGGTCTCTGGTTATCCATGCTTTTTGGATGGTTATCCATCCATCCGTTACATGATAAGTTGAGGTTTAGGGATTATGAGTATGGAAGGAGCATGTAGCCTTTTTTTCCTTTTCCTGAGGTGTTTTGTTCCTCAAGCTTGGTGTTTGAAAAGGGTGTTTTTCAGGTTTATCTTTGCTATGTCCAAGCCTTAATAAGTTTCAAAGTTGTATGTCTTCAGTTATGACTCGGCTTTCTTTCAGTGGTTGGCAGGAATAGGCAGGAAAGGCTCTATACTCCTTCGCTTTCTTATCTGATTCTTTACCTTATTTCCCGCTTCTGGTGGAAAGAGCTTAACTTGGCAGCCTTGGAGAATAAAGGCCCCAATCCCTAGGAGAGGCCCAAGCACTAACAGTCAGCCTTCCCCCTGCCAGTGCTCCACGTATGCATGTTACCTTTTCCTCAGGTGGGTGATGGGGTAGACAGAAAGGGGGGTTAGTCTCTGGTGTAGGCTGGGTTGGTGTCTCTTCCCATGCTACTAGCAAAGGTGTAAATTAATGCTGTGTCCGTGATTTGATTGTGATGCTCATCTGTTAGCAGCTAAGTTAAACCACCTACTCATTTCACGTAATTCACCATGCAGCCATCAGATAGGACCAACTCCTGGATACTATGAACCTTGGCTGGATTTGAATCGGCTATAGAGAACAGAGTAGTTGTGTGTCCCCATATTGGGCCCCTGAGCCTTTGTTGCTTCTGTGGCTTTTCCCTTTCAGATGGCATGTCAAGATTCAGCACACTGCTCAGGAGCAGCTTTACTTGTATTTGACTGCT